TTTAGCTGCCCTCAGGGCTCAATGCTAAGGAATCCTGGGAACTGTAGCTTTGTGAGGCATTGAGCCTTCTCTGTCAGAGAGAGCTCTGGTGCCTCAGTAAACTACAATTCCCAGGATTCCTCAGCCCTGAGGGCAGTTAAAGAGGTCTGAAAGTGGATTATTATTTTCTGCTGTGTTTTGGACCAATGTTGTAATGTAAATCATGGAAGGGCCTGAACAGAATGCCAGAAATAATCCAGTTTGAGACCACTTTAACTGCCCTGGCTCAGTGCTAGGGAATCATGGGAATTGTAGTTTTTTTCTGAGACATTGAGCCTGCTCTGTCAGAGAGCTCTGGTGCCACAATAAACTACAATTCCCAGGATTCCTTAGCACTGAGCCAGGACAGTTAAAGACCACAGTCTCAAGCTGGATTATTTCTGGCAGTCTGTACAGGCCCAGTGTCATATCCCACATATGTAATGAGAAGCTTTATCTAGTGTAATGTATTATATTTCTTGTGACAGAATACTCCAAATGTTAAATGGGTATAAGAATAATTAGGCATTTCACATTGTTTGCCCTGGCTCAATGCTAAGGAATTCTGGGAACTGCAGTTTTGTGAGGCATTTAGAGAGTTTTCTGTAGTTTTGTGAGGCATCTGTCAGAGAGAGCAACAAACTACAGTTCCCAGGATTCCCTAGCACTGAGCCAGGGCAGTTAAAGTGGGGTCAAACCGGATTATTTCTGCAGTGCAGAGGCAGGCAGAGGTTCAAAACACACTACAGAAAATAATCCATTTTGAGACTGCTTTAACACCCCTGGCTCAGTGCTAGGGAATCCTGGGAACTTTATTTTGTTGTGGCTCAAAAGCTCTCTGACAGAGAAGGCTCATGTCTCAGAAAGCTACAGAATTCCCTAGCATTGAGTCAGGGCAGCTAAAGCAGTCTCAAACTGGATTATTTCTGCAGTGTGTTTTGGACCTAGATTAGTAAAAGAGATTATATATGTATGTACCTGCAAATATACATCTGAAAAGATTATTGGAAGTCATCTTTTTATTCTTTCTCTGCATCTGCTCTGGGTTTTATAATTAATATAAATGAATGCTTCTTTTGCATGCACCTGAGGCAGTAGGCTCAAGTCGAAAGGGCCTTTGCAGACTGCCAAAAATAGTGCAAATTGAGTCCACTTTAATTGCCCTGATTCAGTGCTAGAGAATCATGGGAACTGTAGTTTATTGTGGCACCAGAACTCTCTGACAGGGAAGGCTCAATGTCTCAGAAAAAATACAATTCCCATGATTCCCTAGCACTGAGCCAGGGCAGTTAAAGTGGCCTCTATGAAAGCTCCTGCTGCCAACTTCTTTATCAGTCTCAAAGGTGCTACAAGATCTCTCTACATATTAATACTTCTTAGTCCTGCTCAAAGTGGAGGACATTTTGGAATTCCTCTTGGACAGAAGGTTGAAATGTAGTTTTCCTGGAAAAAACAGGACGTCCAGTCACTCTGACGCAGCCTAGATTTAAAAATCAGACAGGATCTGATTTTGACCCAGCCTAGATTCCAGGATCAGACAGGTATTTGGGTCCCTTTGCAAGACAAATACATACCATACCCTAAAATTGTTGGCTAAAGGCGGGGTATAAATAATAATAATAATAATAATAAATAATAATAATAAATAATACCTTTATTGGGTCCACATGCTGCCCAAGGTGTACAGAAGGTATCATATCGGTATTGCATGAGCTGCATTGGCTGCCTATAAATTCATAGGGTCAAAAAATAATGCTGCTGCTGCTGTCTTTTAAAACCCTAAAGTTTGGGAGCTTGGTTATCTAATGCTCTTCTACCTGCATCCCTATAACCCTGCCTAGATTTTGAGATTGAACTCTGATGCTTTGCTTTCAGGTCTCCTGTCTAGCAGCGGTTCCCAAGGCTTGGTTCTCCAGATGTTTTGGACATCAGTTCCCAGAAGTCCTGACTGTTGGCCAAGCTGGCTGGGGCTGCTGGGAGCTGAAGTCCAAAACATCTGCCAAGTTTGGGAATCACTAAAGCCCTCATAGGACCTTATCAC